CTCTTAAGTTCTTTGATCGATTATCTTTAAGCAAATGTGTAACATAAAGTTGGATCACAATTTTGATGTATTTTGGGGATTTCAAAATAGACATTTGGAAATGGAAACTAAGAAAGGGTTTTACCAAACATATTTCCTTTGCTTTTTCAAATGAGTCACATTAGGGTAAGAAATGGGAAGAAAGAGACAAGGATCAGCTAAAGAAGACTCTCGTACACCTTAAGATTTCTATTCTGTCCTTCCCAATCCAGGCACAGAGTGCGCGCACCTGCACACTGCCTTTTTCCTCTCTATTGCACGTTTCTGACTTTCAAAATCTCACTGTTTCTGCAGTCCACTCATCACTAGTTTTCCCCCATGCCTGAACTGCTGTGCCTCCAAAATTTTATATCCCTCTTGCCCATGCCTATCCAAAACTTTATCTGTCCTAATATTTTAAGAGAAACTCCACTTTACTTTCATACCCCAGGTTTCACTTTTATTCTCTGTGCCCCAGAAGCCCCACTCTACAGCAAACTCGCTCTCCAAACACATCACCATCACCAGCATCTATAGTAGCTAGAATAGTTTAAAAATTCCCACTGGAGAAGGCAATGAAAGAAAGAATGAAAGAACACAGCTCCCAGGTGGTTTTGGTTTTATTTGTTAAATATGTAGGTTTACCTTAGGCTAAGCTGGGTGACGATGTCATTTTATTGTCCCTTTTGTCTCTTGTGTGGACCACAGGCTATTAGCTGAAGAGTCTTACCCTAGAGAGTAAACTGTATTTGATCTGAAGAGCAAATAACAATCTTTAGCTCCAGGCTGAATTGAATGATTGCTTATCTCCTTGTAAAAATGTGACTTTATGATAAGTTGAGGTCAGGAGAAATTAAGTATTAACCACACCACTGATTATAGCCCCTTAACATTTTTAGCATGAAACAAACATTTAGTTTTCAGTTATGACAAGAATTTTAATGGTGAAGTAGCTGAATCTTATCTTATTTCAAGTTAAAACAGGAAAATAATGTTTTGCATTCGAAGCTGGACCAGGGATTCTAGTGCCTGCCCTGAGTCCTGTTACAGGAATTATACAGCCGTCACCTAGACCATGGTAAGAATTACGCAGATGCCACCTCAACAGGGCTCGTCCCTGGGTTCTGCTGTAATAAAAGAATCAAACAGAGTTCCTTCTTCCACCATGTTTAATATGCAGTAGTAGTTATAGCTTGAACGGAGTGCTTCTGAAGAGGGACTCTCCCTGATGATTGTAACTGGATTTTATAGTCTCTATAGGTCGCTTGAGTTCCTGATGGCACTTCTGCTCATCCCATCCTGTTCATGACATCTGGGGTCTTCTCTTCTGGTTTGCTCCCGCAGCCTCCAGGCACTCTTTTTGTCTGTGTCTTGTGACATTTCCATATCTCTTGTTACAGAATATCTTCTAGTCAAAGTTTTACTTACACTTCCTTATCTACTGGTTACATTTTCACAGATAAAAATAAAGGTTAAAGTGTAATTCATGTGGCCCAAGGCTGAATTTACTTTAGACACTAGTGCTAAACTCTGGCACAAATTAGTCTCTCCCTACAATCCGTGTGGATCTGAGGGCAGGTTACAGGGTTGCTGTGCACAGTGCTTGGGTGCCTTACTCTGGCATTTCAGGACTGTGTTTGCACTGTAGTTGTGCTGCTTTTCCTCAGCACATCTCTTCTAAAAATGTGGAGGATGGCTGGTATTGAATCAGCAGGTGGCTCTTTGTCAGCCAGGAATTTCCCTGTGCTAATGAAGACCCCTCTAAGCTAACATTCAGGCCGTGAGGTTTTTAACATTAGAGAGTTGTTCAAAATAAGTGAAACTCTGATGTGTTGCATACAGTGTAATGATCCCAGCTGTGCTTGGTGAGCAACACCAGGCTTTGTTCCTCCATAATTCTAAATTTTTTGGTGGAAGTTTGAGTGTCTCTGGCTACTTCTGTTGGAGGCACAGCTACTGTCTAGAAGCAATATTCTGGAAGGAAGTTAAGGCAGAAATGCACAAATGAACTCACTTTTGCCTGGCCAAAATTTGTTTGCATATACTTTGGTACATTGTGGCGGTACCTGAAAGTGTATCAGAAGTAGCTTTATTTTTCTAGTGTCATTCTCCATAGTCCTAAAAATGTGTTGTGCTGGGCTCTAGCTAAGCACCTGATTAACACCAGGGCCCAGTCCGCCTTGTGTTATCAGTGTTGAAGCTTATGTTCCTACATTTTCACCACTATTGATAACTAATCATTAGATTCAGGTTAGTTCTTATTTGTCTACCCATACTCCATATACCCCTCCCCATTACAGTGGAGTCCTTAGTATAGGACTGATGTTCAACCTTGATTACCAAAATCGTATTAGGAGCTGAGCTTCCTAATGAACCTGTACAGTTACTGAACTCTCTGGGAATACTTTCTGCTCCTGCTAAACCACCACGCATAGATTTCAGCTAACTATGGATTTACCAGCAGAAGTGGAGATGATGATAGCCCTTCATTTTCACCACTCAGCATAAAGTGCGTGCACTCTGGACCATGTGAATGGGAAGTGCTGTGACACTCTCTCAACCGTTCCTGCTCCCATCCAGATCACAGCTGCATCTAGCTTAAGTTACATCGAGATTAGCCCGCAGCAACCGAAGCTGATCTTCTGCATTATGAACTTTCCATTGCCCTGAGTGTTCCCTCCTTTTGCATATAACTGAATTCACTTACCCGTTAAAGGCAGTTTCAAAAAGACATAGCAAATTAGATTTTTCTTTTAATAAGCTTTAATGGGAATGAATTTTTTTCTCTAAATTTTGCTGTCTTTTTTTTCTCTTGAGACTAAAATATACCACCAAGTTTTCTTATTTTGCTACAGGGAACTCACACTGAGGGCTTATGTGTTTTACTTCCCTTTCAACAGAAAATTTCAGAGTGCTTGGTTTTCCAGACCATGAGCAACTGGTAACCTAACTTTCACTTCACCAAATAATCAGATAGGAATTAATATTTTCTAATTTATGCTCAAGAGGTGTTATTTCATCACTTCTCATAAGCTGAAGTTTGGCAGAATATCTGGGGAAAAATAACGTGTGATGATTTCGTAAGAAAACTTCATATGAAAAATTGGCAAATTTCCCTTTTTGGTGAAAAATATCTCCTCTGTTACACTACTGAAGAATGACAAGTGGATTTGCAGAATGTTATGATTTCAGCGAAAGACAATTTTTTTCTTTAAGAAAAAGTTAAGAGTGTTTTACTTCAAAACCACTTATGTGTTTCTTCCATCACTGAAAAAAGAAAAATATCATTTTCCAGTATAAAGGGTTTTTTTTGAAGAGAGAAAATAGATTTTTAGAGCTTTTAAAACTAGATCTTTAAAAAAAATCTCTACATCTTAATGATAAATTGGCAAGTATTGCTTTGGAGCCTATAATGGTTGAGGAAAATTGTGATAGGAAAAACTAACTATATTTTATTTTAGGAGTTTTATCTCCTGCTGTCTTTTTTCATTTTGTTTCTCCCTGTAAAACAGTATTTTTTCTTTTTCATTCATCTTTGTTGATTTTCATTTCTCTTAAAAAAGTTTTGATGAAGGCTTTTCACTTCATGTTGTTTGTAGGGAGTACGAAATGGAGAGTTTGAATACGAAAATCTGAAGCCAGGGGGTTTATAGATAATAGTACAGTTTAGCCTTATTCCCTTCCCTCTTCATCTCACCCTCATCCTTCCAGATTTCCCACAAAGTGCCGCAAGATTTAGCTGGCAGGTCTCTCTAGTAGCATGTGTTACTGCCATTACTGTTGTCCAGAAAGAAAAAAAAGCTCAAGGGTCCTGTGCAAAGCCCCACTTTACTGTTAGATTATGACTCAGAACTGTGGTTTAGAGTTTAAAATAGATTTATACAGTACACTGGAATCTAATATTCCCATCTCAGTTCCATAAATGAAAGTCCATATTGCTCAATATATCTAATGTACAGAAACTTCCATTTATGACTACTGGGATTCTGAAATTTTAATCCTAGACAACTTTTGTGTTAAAATTACGGAACATTTAAGACAAATGTCAGTCAAAATGAATGCTTTTTAGCATTCAGTGTGTAATGAATTATTTTTAATTTATTCCATGTTAAAGTGGAAGAGAATCAAGGCTGTGTGTGTATAAAAGAGAACTATACTTTGTTTGAAAATAGTTTTTACATTTCCAGCTTTTGTCTGCCTCTTTTTTTTTCTATTTCTCATTCTCCCACCTCAGCTTTGGCACTTTCTTATTCTATTATGTAGTAAATTGTGGTGTTACAGTACCAGTTGCCTGAAACCAGCTGCTGCCTGAGTCATGTAGTAAAAGCCCATCCCTAACTGAGACTAATCATGTATTTGGTCCAAGAACAGTGAATCCTGAAATGATTCCTGAAGTTGTGTGTCATTAGAATGTAATACAGTGATGCCACTGGGTGGCTCTTTAACATTCCTTTATACATCTTTAAATTGTTTTGAGCATACTAAGAATGGGCTCAAATGGTAAACTGAAGCTCTGCCAGCCTGTGGTTGTTTTACTTGATTAGTAATTTGGTATAAAAATGCCGGTATCACACTACAGCAAATGCAGGATCTCCACCCAAAATACTCAGGTTGTCTTTGCATTCCTTATTTTAAACATAAGATTCAGTTTCTCTTGAATATTTTTGAAACTGTAAAATTCTATTCTTTGACAACATTCTGTTCCATTTACATTTGTTTCTTCCACAATGTTGGTTTAATTTTAATTGTGTAGATAATACAACACTTATTAAGATTCTGCTGAAATACTTATCTAATATTTTTCTCCTCTTAAAATATTTTTCTGCAAAATTTTAATTCAGAAACTGTAATTATATACACTGTAATCTAAGTAAATCAGATTTCGGCTCTTTCTGTTAAAACTCCACAAGCATAACTTTAAACTTGGATTGAGGACTACTTGTGTACTTATTTTCTTTTTTTTTTTTCTTTAAACTTAACAGGTGCAATGGATGTAGAAGAGAGGAATCGCCAAATGAAAATGAGCAAGTACAAACAGGTAGCAGGATCAGATTCCAGGCTGGAACAAGATTATCATTCTAAGGCAAGGGAGTTTTGTTTTGAAAAGCAACAAAACATGTTAAACTGAAATGTCCAATATCCTTGTAGAAAGTAATAGATGAGTGGGAGGTTGTTTCCTCAGGAAAAGTTTCTTGTGTGTCTATAATAAAACTATTGGAAACATGCAGCAAAACCCTTAACACAGACTGTTCTTAATTCTTAAAATCTGAGAAGGATAAGTTGAATCAAATAAAGGTGGCAGTGTAATTATCCATTGGAATGAACAATAGGGCCATGATTTAAAAGATCAAAGAGAAGGAAAAATGAGGTTTATTGAGTGACAGATGGAATGACAGCTATTGAAACCTGTTCATGGCTTTCATGTAGTTGAATACAGGGTTATCTTGATCTATTGAAAATCAGAAGGTGTAGTATTACTTAGTTTAATGGTAGCAGTTGAGCTTTTGGAGAAGTGTTTTATACAGGAACACAAGCTTCCACCCCAGCTGTGGCAATTTGCCAAAAATCTGAATCGTTTCGTAGTAGTATAGCCCTGAATATGCTATCCAAAATTTCCTGCTATCTGGAAAAGGGTCATGTCATATACAGTGTGTTAATTAAAATAATCAAGAAATTTTCAATTTAAACTTCTATTATACAAAAATAATTTAGTGCCCTCTAAAAGACTTCATTAATTGAGGTCAGATAGTAAGTGGGAAACAGGAGACTTCTGACCTATAAAAGCTGGCTGAGGAAGCGAAGTCTATTCTATTCTAGACTTTTATTTCCAGGATGTAGTTCCTTGCTCCAAGGATTGCCAAAGTTACTGTAAACTGAGCTGTTTCATATTTGAAGACAAAGAAATCCTCAAATTTATGAAGTATTATTAGTTTTGCAGATAACGTAGACTAATATACTTGATAAAATTACTTTCTAGAATGTACATTTCAGTGAGGGAAAATAGAGGAAGAGCTTTAGCAAAGCCCATGACAAAATGGAAAACACTAGTAATGAAAATTGAATTTGCAAAACAAAAAGAAAAATGTGGAAAAGGCTTAAGGCACTTTAAAACTCTGTAGATGTGCTGCATGATTACATGGGTATTTTACAAATGTGGTTTTTACTACAGAAGGCATAGGAATTTTTACTGACATGTGGGAGGGACTTGGTATATTGTCATGTTTAGATGCTTGTTTTATGTTGACACTTATGGTGTGTCTATATTGTCGGCTTTGAAAGGTGTTACCTTTTAGACATGAGCATAATACTGTGAGCAGACCTTCTTGCAAGTATTGATTGTATGTACCACAGAAACATGACTTAATGTATTGTATGTATAACCAGATTTATGCTGCTAATTTTTCTGCTCCCTTCATGCTTCACCAATATTTGAGTCAGAAATAGGACTGGTATGGAGTAAAGAGGATAAATGGGCTCTCATGTGAAGGAGCTGGATAGAATATAACTACCTAAGGAAACATTTCCTACCCTTGTTCTTCCATTTCACCAACACGATATTATTGGGCCTCACTATACATCTTTTTAATTAAAATTTTACCTTCAGTATTATTGGAATGTATTAAAGAGGAAAATTATAAATGGAATTATTTTATGAAAATGGTGATTTATTTATTGCACACATCAAATTGTCTCCACAAATAAACAGTTAATTTACTCTTCTGCCAAAGCGTAGTTTCAGTATTTGAAAATGAGTTATTTATTCTATCAATGAACTTGTGGAACTAGACACTGAATATTCACATATATGTATTAATTCAAAACGCATTCTTAAAGTTCTATAATTTTAAAGCCATATGAGAATCGTAACTCTCATAAACCATATGAGAGTTCCATCTTGACTTTTTTACCGCCACTGCTTCAATTCCCATTAATTAAGTGCTTGTATTATCTAGAGACAAAAGATGAGTAACTATGATTTATCTGCCTGGTTTCTACAAAAATTCCTCTGGAATCATGAACTGAAACACATACCTCAACTGCTGACTGAAATCTCATGTTCTGTATACTATTCAGTGACTTTGATTTTTTAAATCTGTCAAGTGGCACAATCAGCCAGGCCAGTGAGCCATGCCTGAGAAAAATGTCATTAAGTAGGCATCTAGCCACATGCAGGAAAGCTAGCACATGAAATTTTCTTTAAAATTTCTGTTCTACTTCTTTTTTGAAATGGAAATCAACAGCAAATATATGTGCCTCATGATTACTTTGAGGTAAGAAAAATATCTTTCCTTGCTGAGAAAGCAAAATCTGTAACAGTAGAACTATTTTAAATATTAAAATATCAAAATATTAAAATAGGCATGCTGTATTACACCTCTTTAGTTTTGTTCTACCTCTGGAAGTCAGTACTAGAGGCTTTAAAAGAAGGTACATACACTTGTATGGTGCATAGTCATATCTAAGAAGTTTGTGGGAGAAGATTTCTTCCAGACATCTGTATTCTTAGAAGCTGCTAATATACAAAATTGATTTGCCCCTACATTTTTTCCTCATGATTGATTGATAAAATTGCAGACTTTATTTTTATTATTCATATAAATGCCTAATTATTTTTTGAAAATTAAGTATTCTGCTTCCATAATATTTTGTACACATGAGTTTGGCAGGTAATATATTGTGTAAAAGAGTTATTTCCTTAAATGCAAAAGTTGCTCAAGTATGGTTTAAGCACAGGCATAAGAAAAGCAAGCAAGATATTTGATTTTCAGATAAACATATTTACAACTAAGGACACATGAGAGGAAAAACAGTGTGGGCATTAAGGAGTAGGTAAAAGTATTTCTGGTATTGGAACAACTGTTTCTTTCTGAATATTGAGTACTAGTAGACTTGTACTAAATAGGATATATACTAAAGTCTGAATTGCAGTGCTGGTAGAAGCTGACAAGCCAGAAAACCTGGATTCCGGGAATACAGAAAAAAAGCACAGTACCAGAGGAATGTTCCACCAGAGGAAAAAATACTGAGATAAAAGAGAGAAGATACTTCTTGTACTTAGGAGCTCTAGACGTGTTTGCAATCAATATGAAATCAATGTAGAATCAAGAGACAATTCCATCAACTTAGGCCACATTAGCCACTACAAAAGGGTCTGAGTAAAAGGCATTGAATGCCAAACTATAGGCAGTTGGATTTATGTAGGAGTTAGAATAGTGAAAAATTATTGTTTTCTTTAGGAACAAAGGTAAACCAGAGACTGGCAACTAGCTGACACACATTTAAACCTCTAAGTTTCACGAGGCTCATTTTATTTGTTTTATTAGGAGAAAATAATGACCTACAAAAAGGCAGAGAAATCCAGTTACATAATATAGCAATTAGTAATAGACAGTAATGTAGTAATTAGGAATATAGTATATTGGAGCGACAAGGAACAAAGTTCCTCAAAAAAAAGAGGTAAATGCCAGATGAAAACCAAAATTTTTGCAGAACTGATGACAAGATTATTTAGCCAAATGGAGAAAAAGTACACCAAATAGAGAATAATACAGAACACCAAAGAGGACTTCCCAATTCCACCTCCAATGATTCGTACTGATGACAAGACTAAAACTTTCTACATCATCAGGTGTACGTAATGCTGCAGTTCTATTAATCAATAACCACAATTCAAGTTTTAGAAATGAGCATAGTTCTCTCTGGTGTAGGAGACTAGTAGCATTAGGCATACTAGCATGCTGCTTTGCGATCTTCTAATTAGCAGGACCAAGACAAATTAAGCTGTGGAAAAGAAGAACTAAGCATGCGCTCAGTTTATCGAGTAGTGCAGATGCAGCTGAAATGCCCTTTGGAGCATATAGACACTGAAAAGTGCAGTTCTTCAAACTCAAGAACCACTTTATGGGTTATCTGTGTGAGAGAATGTGCAGAAGGTAAGAGCTGTAACACTGGAGGTGGAAGAGGTTGAGTTTGAAAACATCAGAAGCAGATCTCCTTAACTCTCAGTCTTGTTGCAATGTGCAAAAGTGTCCAAGAACTGCCTTTTTCCTCTGACCTGCAGTAAGTGGTTGTGTCATCGGTACAGCTATATGCTTTATCCTTTCACCTCTTTTGCTGGTTGAAACATTTGATTTAACGGTGTTTTGGGGTACACTTGTCCTTAAAAATCAAAACCGAGGAGTACACAGAGCAGCAAAGATGGCCAGCAGAAACACTTGTCACTTTTCTTCTTGGAACCCTTGTGGAGGAGGAGTTGAACAAACATGCAAGCTAATAGAATGATGAGACCTTTGATATTCTTACTGTATATAAGCTGTAGTTATTTCATGCTGGTTGTGAACTGGCAATTGTTTTAGAACATTTAAGCTCAGAGTTTGGGAGTTCTGTGAAGATCGTGATACGCCCAGTAATAATTTAATAATTTATAATAATTATGAAAGCGTCTGATCTCATAATTATTTATTACAACTTCTGTTGTTAAGGATGTAATTAGAAATATTCAAAATGTAGAGTGAAAAATGAAGGCTAGGTTAGATTTCCATGTTCCCTCAAATAGTGCAGAAATTGGAAATCTGTTTTGTACACTGGGATAAAACTTGGAAAGATGAAATAATTAGAATGGAGCTATTCTGAAGAATAATTAAGATGGCAAAAATTAACACAAATATTTATTGCAATTAACATCTATGAAATACCTGTAAAACTAAGGGCCTAACCAGTTGAATTTGATAGGCTTATACATAGGAAAAGCTGTGCGTAGTTTTACAGGGTGCCTTTGTCTTCCCATTCCCCACCTCCCCACCAATAACCTTTTTGCTTCAGGAAATAAATTAGGCTAACAAAGAATTTTTTATATGAGGAGATTATTCTGGTATTGCCTGTATTGCTTTTGTGCTTTCCTGTGGACTAGTCAGTAATTGCACTTTTGGACAAGAAACTTGATAGCTAAACCTGCTGCTTGATCTGGAAGGACAGGTCCTGTCACTCTTAACAGCCTAATCAGGTTACCTAGTCAATCATACTCATTTGTGATATGTAAGGAATTTTGCTACTCATTGGCAGAGAGCGCCTCTCTGGCCCATA